CGAAAACAAAATATAATCATATATCAATTCCAACCGTCTGAAAAGGATATACAGTATCTTATTTCTATCAAGTTTTACTCTACTTTTTATGTATAAAAATGTTTATATGTTTTGTTATTGTCAATGGTATTTTCAATAATCTAACAATAAAAAGTAAAGGGAAATTGAAACTACATGACAACTTGGTCCAGAACATAGAGCTGCATCTGACCTTCACGTCCTATAAATCCCAACGTATTTCCAACCAAACCTTCTCCATCCCCCTCCTATTCTTCTATTCTCCTCTTCTCCTCTTCCTATATCTCCTCCTCTTCTTAATTTCTGTTCCGTTCACCATATTTATTTATTTCCGGCTACCATGATCAGAAACACCCCACGCCCTTCGCGGTTTAATCCTGTCTTCCTTATCAAAGGTTTTGTCCTAATTGATTTTTGTTTCTTTTTTAATTAATTAAGCTCTTTGTTTCCCTATTTTAATGGCGGTCATTTTAATAGATTTTCGTTTAAACTTAGGACAATTAAGGTTTCTGTTCTTATCAAAACCAACGATCGTTTATAACAAAACAAACAAAACAAGCTGCTGTTTGATATATATGAATTCCGTGTATGAGATGAATTACCTCACCATCTTGCCGTTGCGCATCTCGGCAAAGCCAAAGCCACCTCTTTATATATGATTTTAGATATCCTCTATGTAATTATTATTCCAGTTACATTCATTATTTGTCGTTGGATTAATTTCAACAATTTTTGTTTTTCCAATAATTAAAAGTTTGGTGGTTAGCGAGATCCAAAATTCTCAACGGTGTATTTAGTTTGATTAAATAATAATTCAAAAAGAGTGTGGAAATGATTTAGATGGATAAAAGTAAATGAACAAGTCAGAAGAGAGCAACTGGGAATTAATATATAGTATATAGTATAGTATTATTAAATAGGGCTGCTGGTCAATGGGAGGTTGTAGGAAGAAATTGCACTTTTTCAAACTTGATAAAACGATGGCGTAACGTAGGTAGCAAAATTTCATTTAGCATCCATATGTTACAAAGATATAAATTTGTAGCCAAAACAAGAATATTGTGTTATTTGCATTAAAATATATCGTCTCCTTGGTGTGATTTTGATTTTGAAGGTTGGTGCAAGATGCTTAACGGCACAGGCTGCAACTGCGCTTCGAGAAAGTGAACCTATGTTCAGGTTAACCTTTATAAATATAATTACAACAGTATCATATTTTCTTTCATAATGTATTAATCAATACTTATCAGATATATTTATGTTTTAGATACGAGGAATATGCTGATATTGACTGGAATAACCTCGGATTTGGTCTCACGCAAACCGATTACATGTATACGGCTAAATGCAAAGAAAACGAAAGTTTTCAACAGGGCCAATTACGTGATTATGGCAACGTAGAGTTAAGCCCAGCTGCTGGAGTTCTAAACTATGGCCAGGTACAACACTTACATACTAATTAAACTTTTTTTTTTTTTTTTTTTATAAGAGAATTAAACTTTTTTATCACCTAAATTAGGACAAGGCTAAATGTCATCTAAACTGTATTGTATGTCTGATGCCTTGCAAATAGTCATATCCATATTGATAATTTTCTAATTAAGTATATATAACAAACAATGATGTTAACAAAGCAAGGGTTAATTATTTTATCTATACAGGGACTTTTTGAAGGTACAAAAGCTTATAGGGGAGAGAATGGTCGAGTTTTCTTATTTCGCCCAGATCAAAATGCTATTCGTATGCAAATGGGAGCCGAGAGAATGTGCATGCGCTCCCCATCTGTACAACAATTTGTAGATGCGGTGAAACAGACAGCTTTTGCTAACAAACGTTGGGTATATATCCTTTTCAATTTTTAATAGCTTGTCATTTTCATCATGTAACAACAAATAAAGATGAAAACCCATATATGATCATAATTCTTGATATTTTTCCCATCACATCCCCGTGGGACATATTCTTAATTTTCACCTTCATATGTTATAGAAACTAGACCCACAAAATAAAAATGATTGTTTTTTGTTTCTTCATTTCTTCATCCTTTTTAACTTATGTTGGCTTTGCTTTTGTGTAGATTCCTCCCCCAGGAAAAGGATCTCTTTACATTAGGCCTTTGCTCATTGGAACTGGGCCTATATTGGGCTTATCTCCTTCTCCCGAGTATACGTTCTTAGTATATGCTTCTCCTGTTGGCAATTATTTTAAGGTTTGATTCTTATATATATATATATATATATATATATATATATATATATATATATATATATATATATATATATATATATATATATATATTTAATCGTGTTGATTAGTGAGTGTTATATCTTTATAATATGGTCTTTAATTATGAAATACAGGAGGGTACAGCACCATTGAACTTATATGTTAATGACGAGTTTCATCGTGCAACTCGTGGTGGAGCAGGAGGTGTCAAGAGTATTACAAATTATGCCCCGGTAAAAAGATGCATATATACAACATATATATTAATCGATTAAATATGATAATTAATTAATCCTCCATGATATAAATTATTAAAACATTAATGTGACTCATGCATGTATGTTGTGTATGAAGGTACTACAAGCGATATCAAAAGCAAAGGAACAAGGGTTTTCGGATGTAGTATACCTTGATTCAGTCCACAAAAAATATGTTGAGGAGGCCAGTTCATGTAATATGTTCCTTGTCAAGGTACTTAATTACTTTTCTTAATTCATATCAAAGTGTGTGTGAGATTAATAGGTACATGATTTTAATTCGTATTTTTGTATATATTTAATTAGGGAAATGTTATTTCAACTCCTGCAACCGTTGGTACTATTCTCGAAGGAATCACAAGAAAAAGCATCATTGATATTGCACGTGACTCTGGATACAAGGTAAACTATTGTGTTAATATTAGGGCGGTCAAATCGGACAGTCGTGTCGTGTTTTTTTTCTGACACGACACGACACGACAAGATTTTCTGTAACACGAACACGACACGACACGATGTCGTGTTTTTTTTCACTAACACGAAAACGAAACAATTAAAAAACGACAACACGACACGACACGAAAAAGATAATACTACAAAACTATTAGTTTCTTTAATTCATATTTAATCACACATAACACGATAAAAACCACAAACACGACAAACACATACTCAATCGTGTTAATTTCGTGTGGATTTGTAAACACGAACACGACACGACACGACATCGTGTTTTTTAAACATGACACGAACACAACACGAACACGAATTCGAATTTTGATTTCGGCCCGATTTCATTTCGTGTCGTGTATTTTTGTCGTGTCGTGTCATAAATTGACACCCCTAGTTAATATCATTTCTAACTCTACTCTACAGTCTACACTTCAAAAGTTTTGTTGTTCTCTTAATTTGAAATTAGTTTTGTGTGTTTTAATTAGAGTAATTTTATATGTTCTTAAATACATCATGATCGACCTAGTGAAATCTAAATACTCCATTATTATGATTTAATGCCTAAATGTGTTTATGGGAAATAATATGAGTATGTATATTGTATCTTACTCTTGATTTATTTTATTATTTTTTCAAACCACTAAAATAATTTCATCCAACTTTCTACCTTTGCAAAATACCTTTTTATATGGAAATATACATTTGTGTATTGGGTAAATGATATATATATTCTTTGGTTAATGTGTATTTACTTGATTTTTTGAAAATCGTCTAAAAATGTTTTCAATTGTTATATATAGGTCGAGGAACGTTTAGTCACAGTAGACGAATTGATGGAAGCCGATGAAGTTTTCACTACCGGAACAGCTGTTAGTATTGCTGCCGTTGGTAGTATTACATACAATGGTCAAAGGTAAAAAACACTAGTTACAACTCATCTCAAACTATTTTCCACTCGTTCTTTTATATATTAGTAACACTCCAATCTAATACAAGTTGCAAATTGGTATTTATTTATCAATTTTCACTTGACAAACGACAACCTTCTTTTTGTAGGGGTTTCTCTTCATCTCTTCTTATAATCATATCATTCTGTGTAACTGAACTTTGTTAATAGTTTTCTTGTGTATTATCAGTTCTTTAGTGTTAATCTATTGATATTTGATTTTACAAATGATTGTGATTGTAGAAAGGAGTACAAAACTGGCGATGGACTCGTGAGCAAAGACTTATATAAAACACTAGTAGGGATTCAACTTGGAAAGATCGAAGACAAACATAACTGGGTTGTTCAGCTTGATTAATTATCCATTATAATTTTTATTTGTGTAAACCGGAAAGAAATATTCAACAAGAAATATAAAAATCAAAGGGGAAGTAACTGATATACCCTTATACATATACCATTTTCTCTGCCTGTAAAAAAGAAAGTTTTCATTTTGTGATGTACTTTACATTAGCCCAAATTTTCATTAATCTTTTCCGACCATAATTGAAAAAATATTTGCAATCAATGATATCTAAGAATTTATAATTGAAACATCTTAAAGGGTAACAAATAATATTGTACATAAAAATGACATATATTCATAAATGAATATATATGTCATTTTCATGTTTATATACACAACATATTCATACATTAATATCTACCTTTCTTAATAAAAAAGTAGTTTTTTTATGTCACGTGTCGATTTAATAGCCATTTGCCACGTGTAATTTCCTTAACAATTTTGCCACGGCTATATCTTCTGCACCTTATATACAACCTGTAATTGTAAATAAGTCTGATCCCCAAAATCTCGGCAACTTTAATTGGCAAGTTTCTATCGGTTTGCATGAATTAAGGATAATAAGAGGGCTTATTTCAAATTTCGAATTTTGAATTCACATTCACCTCCAATCAAAATTGTGATCATCTTTTCCTCTCGAGGGTTCTAACAATGGTTTTTGTTATTTTGATGAACATTGTCTCACCGATGAATACTACATGTAATGGTTTCTTTCCCTTCTCAGGTTTGATGTTTGAATATTGATTCCCATATTTAGTTCTTAAAATTTTCTGATTTTCAAATCTCTTGGCGTTAGCGGTTAATTTGATCTCCATGTAACACCCCGACTCCCAGGTATAAGTTTTAAAACCTTATATACATGTTTATGGACCTACTCGACGAGTTGGTTGGCCCAACTCGCCGTGTAAAGGCAGGTTAGCCTGCGTGGATTATTGGACCTACTCGGCGAGTCGGAGGACCCTGACTTGACGAGTAGGAGCTGAAAAATGAAACCCTAATTTCCGGGGTTTTGCACCCTATTTAAAGGGTCATTAGCCTCCCTCAGCCTCCCCTTACCGTCCCCCTTGAGTCTAGAAAACCCTAATCTCGAATACCCTCCATTTGTGTGTGTGAAGAAGCTTGGAAAGTGGTTTTTGTGAAGAAGGCTTGAAGTCTAAGGAGCTTGGAGCAAAGAAAAGCTTGTGGATCTGACTCTACTTCTTCTTGGCATCATTTTGAAGGTAACAAGTCGTTACTTTGACTTCCCTCTAGCTAGATCTCTCCATGCTTAAGTTTAGGGCCATTTTAGCATATATGTGAACTATTTCGGGTATTGGTCATGATCTGAAGTTGTAACTTCAGATCTGGACTTCTCCAAGTCCCTATAGCCATAAAGTTATCAGATTTAACAAGCTTGGGCCTTTCTCTTTGGGTTAAACATTTCCCTTAGCTTGGTTTTGGCATTTAGGACCATGCATGCACGTAAAGTTTGCAACTTTACGTGGAAACCATGCCCTAGGAGGTTGGATCTGCATTTTGGAGCTTTGGGGTGGCTTAAAAACATCTGGATAAGAAATGAACTGAAGGGACTCGACGAGTCGCATAGCCGACTCGGCGAGTCGGATGAAGATTTCCTGTATTGGTCCTGTATGAACTCGGCGAGTCAGTAAGAAGACTCGACGAGTCAGTTAGGTTTTCCCGACATTTGGACACGCATGGACTCGACAAGTTGGTTGGAAACTCGGCGAGTCAATTAGGGTTTTGACGATTCCTGAGTTATGGAGGAACTCGACGAGTTGCTAGCTGCACTCGACGAGTCGGGTCAACATGAACTGTTGACTTTGACTGTTTACTTTGACTTTGACCAAGGGTTGACCAGTTTGACTTTTGAGGGTATTTTGGTAATTTGGGATTCTCATGGACTTGGTCCTATGGTGATTATAGGTGGTTGAGTTCGTGACAGTGTTTCGGGAGTTTGATCTTATCACTACAGTTCGACATCGTGAGGTGAGTTCTTCTCACTATATCAACAAGGTCTAAGGCACCAATGTCGGCCCTTTTTTGGATTTTGTATTCGGGTTATTTCATGATATGCTTATTGATTTACATCCTGGTAGTTAGGATGGTGATATGCTTAGTGACCTGGTTAGGTCGTTATCTTGGTATATAGGATGATGCTATGTCAGTGATCGGTTAGGTCTGTATCCTGGTTATAGGATGTTGATATGATTAGTGATCTGTTAGATCGGTTTGACTGTTATATATGCTAGTGTATGATATTTATGTGCACATGATTGTTTGATTGGGGGTTGGGTTGAGGAGGTCCTGCTTTGTGCTGAAGGCCAACATACCCAGGACGGTCCGGATAGACTGAAGGACCTGCGAGGCGGTCCAGTCAGGCCGAAGACCCGGCGAGCGGTCCGCATAGGTTGTAGGCCCTGCGAGGCAGTCCAGACGTGCCGAAGGCGCGAGAGCGGTCCAGATAGGCTGAAGGCCCTGCGAGGCGGTCCAGTCAGGCTGAAGGCTCATTATGAATGTGTTTGTTTATATGATATGGTTATATTTGTATGGCGTTGGTATTTTGGGGGAACTCACTAAGCTTCGGGCTTACAGTTGTTGATTTTGTTTCAGGTACTTCTGATGATCACGGGAAGGAAAAGACGTGATCGTACACCTCCTTATGTTTGATGATTTGATTCTGGGATACTCTGACACTAAACTATTTTGAAAACAAGTTTTGTAATAATTATTTGGTTTTGAAATATTTTAAAAGTTTAAATTTGGCATGATTTTTATGGATGTTACAAGTTGGTATCAGAGCATTGGTTTGAGTGAATTGGAGGAAACACTCGTGTGTATCCAATCTCAAACTGAGGACAAGAACTTTAAAATGATTTTCAAAAGGTTTTCAAATTAATAAAGGAGGATGCAAATGTATGATCAGCCGGAGCCAGTAAGTAGCCCCAAAATACCTTACGGATTATTTGATTTATGTGATATGTTAGAACAGCCTGCTAGTACTAGGCTAGGGATCTTTAGGAATTGCATGATAGAATTGCCTGATTATATGATGCCTGATGGCCTAGGGTTTTTCCTTATATGAAATTGACATCATTACTATAGTTGCTTAGTGTATGCATCACGGCTGTACATAATTAAGATCTTATAGCCTGAGAATGTTTGATTTGGCCTTATTTCCTGTTCTTGTTTGATGAAGGGCTTAGGGTAGGATTAGGTGTTCGAAAGTCTATAGGGTTCAGCGTTATGTATGGCTAGCATACACTAGTGCTGCAGGGTTGGTGGAAGTTTCATGGGAGGGTGAGTTATTTGGGGGTCAGTCCGCCAGTTATGAGATATCTAGCTTTCCTCTAGGAGTGAGGATTGAGTGCGCGCCTTGCTTATATATATAGTGTTAGGGCGTTGTGATGATACTTGAGACAAATATGGGTAGGTGTGGAAGGTAGTATGAGCCCGTACTACTGAAAGCACAAGACCCATACGCGTAGCAAGGAAGTCACAACCCCTAGGGTTTTATTGGGAGTTGGTTCCCAGATTATTCTTTGGAGTATTTGATATCTTCCTGGTATATTTTCAGCATGGTGGTTACTCGACGATTTGTGACTGGATCCGGTTCAGGATCAGGAGGCGGCGGACAGGAGGCACCAGCAGTGCCCGAGACTATCGGCCATATGGGGCCAGACGAGATGGACGCCAGGATCCGGGAGATCCTGCATGATGAGGTTGTTGCGATGTTCCAGGCTCAGTGGTCTACTAAGACCGCCATGGTGGAGTATTTCGATGAGCGTTATGCAGCCCTCACTGAGGCGGCTGCCGCAGCAGCTACAACAGTTGTAATGGCGGCAGGGGAAGGAGCCAGTCGAGCTTTTCAGTATCGGGACTTCGACAACACGAAGCCCCCTACTTTTGATGGGACTTAGGACCACATCAAAGCCATGAGGTGGCTATCTGACGTGGAAGGGTGTTTCTTCACGTGTTCATGTCCCACTGACCAGAAGGTCAGATGTACCATGAACCTAGTGAGGTCTGGGGCAAAGGACTGGTGGAGGTTGATGATTGGGTCTTACACTGATGATCATAGAGTTGCGGTTACTTGGGAGCAGTTTAGGGATATGTTCCGCGCTCGCTACATTTCACGGGTCGAGTGGGAGCGGCTAGCTCAGGAGTTTCTGGATTTGAGACAGGATGGTGAGACGGTGACGGAAATCACCCGTATGTTCACGGAGAGGACGATGTTCTGCCTGGAGTTTGCTTCTGAGCAGGCTCAGATGACACTTTATCTGAGCATGCTCAAGACTGACATTCAACATTTTGTGGCGACCCAACGTTGTGATACGCTTCTAGATTTACAGGAGGCGGCTAGGCGGCATGAGTTAGAGATTGAGTTGTAGTTGAGGGAGCAGCGGCAGGCCCCGTCACAGTCACAGTCGGCGCCGAAGCGGTCTAAGACCGCTGATTCTAGGTAGGGAGGAAAGCAGGGCTGCACTTGTGGCAAGTGCAGGAAGGGTCACTCTGGGGTTTGCAGATCGGGTAGCGCGTGCCGCAAATGCGGAAAAGAGGGGCACTTTGCGAGGTATTGTCGCCAGCTAACCCCGGTTCATGATATGAGGATTTGCTACCACTTCCATCAGGTTGGTCACGTGAAGACCAACCGTCCACAGTTCGCTGCCAGGCCGGCGCAGGCTCCAGCGCCGGCTACACTGAGGATTACTGACGGGAGTCTGGGTAGAGCAGCGCCCCCGAGGGCTCAGGGATGCGCCTTCTAGCTTACAGCAGAGGAGGCCAGAGCAGCACCAGATGTGGTTGCTGGTATGTTTTTATCCCTTATCTTACTAATTATATCTGCTTTATGCTTATATGTTTGTACCTGTGATTAGGTACATTTTTAGTGAACTCCTTACCTGCTTTGGTATTATTTGACTCGGGGGCGAGTCGTTTGTTTTTCTCTCAGACATTTAGTAGGGAGTTCGGTTTGCCAGTAGGAGAGCTAGAGTGTCCGTTGCGAGTCTCTATCGCCAACGAACACGAGAATTTCGCTTCTTCGGTCTATCGGGGTTGCGTATTGGAGATCTTCGGGGTATCTTTCCCGATAGACGTGATCCTGATTCCCATGGGGGATGTATGTGTGATTGTGGGTATGGATTGGCTTAGTCGCTTCGGTGCCATGATCGACTACGAGGGTCAGTGGGTGGTAGTTCGAACCCTAAGTGGGGGAGAACTGGTTGTCTACGGCGAGGGCACCAGATTGGGACCAAGGTTTTGTTCGGCTGCCAGGGATCGGCAGTACATTCAGCACGGGTGTGCGGGTTATCTAGCGTACATGGTGGATACGTGGGTCAGGGATCGGATTTCAGTTTCAAAGGTTCCAGTAGTCAGGGAGTTTGCTGACGTGTTCCCGGAGGAGTTGCCCGGAGTGCCTCCGGAGAGGCAGGTCCAATTTAGGACCGACCTAGTGCCAGGTGCGGCCCTTATCGCCAAGGCGTCATACCGATTGGCACCACCAGAGATGCAGGAGCTGTCATCACAGCTGCAGGAACTGCTGGGCAAGCAGTTCATTCGTCCTAGCGGTTCTCCGTAGGGAGCGCCGATCTCTTCGTCAGGAAGAAGGATGGTTCACACTGGATGTGCATTGACTACCGGGAGTTGAACAAATTGAAGGTGAAGAACCGTTATCCACTCCTGATGATAGATGACCTTTTTGATGAGTTGCAGGGAGCATCTTGGATCTCCAAGATAGACCTGAGATCCGGGTACCATCAGGTCAGGGTTAGGGACGAGGACGTGGAGAAGACCGCGTTCCGGACTCGTTATGGACATTACGAGTTCGTGGTGATGTCGTTTGGGCTCACCAACGCGTTGGCAGTATTCATGGACCTGATGAATCAGGTCTGCAGACCGATGCTCAATCGCTCGGTCATCGTGTTTATAGATGATATCTTGGTGTACTCCAAGACCAGAGAGCAGAACGAGGAGCATCTTCTGGAGCTATTGGGAGTCTTGAGGCGAGAATGGCTTTATGCCAAGTTCTCGAAGTGCGAGTTTTGGTTAATAGAGGTCCAGTTCCTTGGACATCTCGTTAACCAGGAGGGGATTTTGGTCGATCCGGCCAAAATCGAGGCGGTTATGCAGTGGGAGGTTCCAAAATCTCCCTCGGATATCAGGAGCTTCTTAGGATTGGCAGGGTACTACCGGAGATTCATTTAGGATTTCTCCAAGATTGTAGTACCCCTCACTCGTCTAACGAGGAAGGGGGTGGATATCCGGTGGGGCCCCGAGCAGCAGAGGGCGTTTGAGACCCTCAGACAACGACTGTGTGAGGCTCCAGTCTTGATTCTCCCAGAAGGAGTTGAGGATTTTGTGGTATTCTGTGATGCCTCCATCACAGGACCAGGAGCGGTCCTCATGCAGAGAGGACGGGTGATAGCCTACGTATCGCAGCAGTTGAAGCCGCATTAGACGAGATACCCTACTCATGATCTAGAGTTGGGAGCGGTGGTATTCTCAAGATTTGGAGACATTACCTCTATGGGGTTCGTTGTACCATATACACGAACAACAAGAGTCTGAGGCACATTATGGATCAGCCGAACCTGAACATGAGACAACGCAGGTGGCTGGATGCAGTCAATGACTACAACAGTGAGATCCTTTACCATCCTGGTAAAGAGAACGTGGTTGCGGACGCTTTGAGCCGCAAGTCAACTAGATCTTCTACTCCAGTGACATGTATGAGGATATCAGTGGATTCTCCACTTATGAGTTTGATCAAGGAAACTCAGGCTGAGGGTATGCGATAGGAAATTGGAAGCTTGAGAGGATTAGGGGTGAGAACACTCGGTTTGTGCAGGATAGCCGGGGATTATTGACCCGTTACGTTCGGGTCTGGGTTCCGATGTCTGGTGGGATCAAACAGACTATACTGGAGGAGGCTCATAAGTCTCGCTTCTCTATTCACCCGGGGGCCACCAAGATGTACATGGATTTGCGATTGAGTTACTGATGGTCGTGCATGAAGCGAGAGATCGCTTGGTACGTTGAGAGGTGCTTGACCTGCAGGATAGTCAAGGCCGAACAGCAGAGGCCGGATGGCAAGCTTCAGCCTCTAGAGATTCCCATGTGGAAATGGGAGTAGATCACGATGGACTTCATCACCAAATTGCCGAGAAAGGCAAAGGGGTTCGACGCTATATGGGTCATCGTGGATCGATTGACCAAGAGTGCTCATTTTCTGCCCATTCGGGAGATCGCATCGGCCGAGAAGCTGGCTGGTGTGTATATACGCGAGATTGTCGCTCGCCACGGGGTTCCAGTCTCTATCGTTTCAGACTGTGACGTTCGGTTTACCTCCCGTTTCTAGCAGAAGTTCCACGAGGAGCTGGGTACACGGATGCACTTCAGTACAGCCTATCATCCGCAGAAAGACAGCCAGAGTGAGCGGACTATACAGACTCTCGAGGATATGCTGAGAGCCTGCATTATTGACTTCGGTGGGAGCTGGGACTCCTAACTACCCCTTGCATAGTTCTCCTATAACAACAACTTTCATTCTAGTATTGGTGCTCCACCTTATGAGTTGTTGTATGGACGGAGATGCCGCACCCCAATCTGTTGGGGCGAGGTTGGTCATAGGGTGATGGGTCGGACCGAGGTAGTCCTGTAGACTACCGAGA